CTTGTTAGTGTTCCTCAAAGTAGGTATGACCTGAAAGACAAAACTAATATAGCGTAATTACCGCTTTTTTCCCTATAAATAAAGAATTTCCTTTCAGCATTTCCATTTCCCATTCTTTTCACAATCGAATATAGACATGATAAAACTAACGAGATCAGTTTGTTACAATAGCTTTTCCAGAACCTCACTATAAATGTAACTATATCATAATCGCTTGCTATAAAGTACAGTATATTCATGAGCGAAAATTTCTAATTAACACTAGCAACCCTACTATGGACTTTGTTTGACCTAGGGCAATTAATGGTACACTTAAGTTATAGTGTTATTTTAACTTTGATAGAACGATGTTTTAGGACCAGGTTCATGGACGTACTTAGCGTGTAAGAGATACAAGCGGCGAGTGCAATAAATTTCATTAACAAGCGCTAAGACGTCAACATCGCACATGGGGGGTGTCGCCTTAGGATTGATTGATTTCATTATTCTCATACAGATACTCTGAAAATGGCTGAATGAGGTATTTGTTTATTTTAGGTGTGGTGTCAATACGCGTCAATTAAGCTCATTCATTACTATCTATAATTAGTATGTGGGAATTCCTAGAGAGCACAAAGAGGATAAATATAAGCTCATATCTGCCACTAACTTTCCAGAGTAACCGAAAGTATGAAGACCAAGATGGTGTGGCCTATTGTGTGGTCGCAGTCTCCTTTCATTGTATAGAGGTTGTTTGACCCTGTTTTCACAACTTGGTCATATTGGTAGGAAGACTTAGAGGAAAGCACCTAGTCCGGAGTTCATTGTATCAATGATAACTTCCAAAGTCGGAACGTGGACGTGGTACATTTCCAGAGGTTTCGCCAGCACCGTCGTCGCTAGCGTCAATGAGTTTTGTCATTCTTAGCGCAACACTACAACTCGTCAAAGAGACAAGTGAAGTCGATTCTTTGACCAAATCTGTGCTAAACAGTTTTGTTATCTCTCCTTCTCTCCTGAGCTATTCAACTATCCTATATCCTCGTATCACGCCTTCACTATCAAAATTTTTTCCTTGCTTATTTGAATGTAATGTGGTGTACACTTTTAAGCGGCTTTTCATGAGAGCCCTCAACACTCCACACTGTCTTTCTCACCCTCCTTCAACCTTGTGCTGAAAATGTTTATCAGATTCTGCCCTATTTTTACAAAGTCCACCTTCCCTAGGTCTTATCAGAGTCTTCTTCTTGGCCTTAGGATCCGTCTACTTACTCCCTGGTTCAAGTATTTTTCTCGACCCCTGCAATCCCATCTGTGCTAACTACGTTTGTGGGTTGAGACACAAGAGACTATGGCATAGCAAGTCATAGACTTGGTATTAGTGATAGAAACAGGATAGACGCGGCGGAGACTAAGCTAGTTAGTTGACAGTGGGCCTGTTTTACCATAGACATGGTCCATGAAGTAAAGGCTCGACCATGAGAATTACTCGGAGGCTTTAGCCTCGAATTAGTCATCCAGGCGCAAGGGATGGGTAATAACGCCACCAGTAGCATAGATGGGATGGCAGGAGTCGGGAGAAATACTTGAACCGGGGAGTAAGCAGACGGAGCCTGCGGCCAAGAAGAAGACTCTGATAAGACCTATGGAAGGAGGACATCGTAACAATATGACACACTGGTCAACAATCCTAGCACAAGGGGGATGGGGGGTGAGGGAGTGAAAAAGCTAATGTGGAGTATGAAGAGTTCTCATGAAAAAAGCTTAAAAATGGCACACCATAACATATTTAAATAAAGAAATAAAAAATGGTGATAGTGAAGGCGAGATACGAGGATATAGGATGGGTGAATAACCAAGGACAGAAGGAGATATACCACAACCGTTTAGCACATGTTTGGTCAAAGAATCGGCTTCACTTGTCTCTTTGACGAGTTGTTGTGTGGTGCTAATAATGGCGACACTCAATGACGATGCCGGCGAAATGTCTGGGAATGTACCACGTCCACGGTCCTACTCTGGAAATCATCATGCATACAATGGACTCCGGGCTAGGTGCCTTCGTCTAAGTCTTCCTACCAATATGACCAAGTTGCGAAAACAAGGTCAAACAACTCCTATACAACGAAAGGGGACTGCGATCACACAAAATGCCAATCATCTTTGTCTTCATACCTTCGATTAAACTATGAGAGTAGGATTGCCAAACAATGAACCGATTAAAGCCGGACAAAGGAGACAATTGTAAGTCAATCCTGCCATTTGGCCTTTTTGAATTGTTTCAAACATTATGGTATTGCTCCCCGATTATGCAATCCAATGAGGAAGTGTGTTTCGGACACAGTTGATGAAATACTTTATCACGCCTCCATCGAGAAATTAGCGGAAAGTTACGAGACTAAGAGGCGTAAGCTATTTGAGTTCATATATCTCAAGCCTAGATTAAGGAAGGATCTAGGTAGGGTTCTTTCTTTGGATGATTTTCATAAACTCTAGAGCATGACGGACCAGAAGTCACAGAGGGTCCGGGATATGATAAATAAGCGGCATGACAGGAAATTGCTCAACTATGGGATTATAAGACAACACAAGTCCAAGCCAACTCGGGCTTGATAGTGTCTTCTTTTTGAGAATACTCTGAAATGCTCTCCAGATCGGGCTGTTGCAAGATCTTCTGTTCCTGTGGTAATGCCTATGCTGGAGAGACATGTAGACGAATACATAAGAGGTTATCCGAACAGAAAACAGCCTGCGAGGGTATGTGGCTCAGAAAATCGGAATTGGCCGAAAACTTGGCTCGCACAGGACACCAGATAGATTTGTCTAATGTCAAATGCTTAGCTGAATATGAGGACTATACCAACCAGTAAGCGAAAGATTAGGTAGGCGATAAAAATCAACGAAACAGCCAACTCCTTGCATAGAAGGAATGAGTGTAGGAAGTTAAGCGGTAACTACTTGTGACTGTTGGATAGGCTAAGAGAGAGAGGGGAGGAACGAGAAGTACCAGCGAAAAAGAGGAGGCTTGAATAGGGTGGAATTTGCTTTTGACTATCACATCACACTCATTTCAAGATCAACAATTGCGACCTTTATTAGGAAAATGGAATATCAAGGTGATGACAAAGGAGAAGAAAACACTTTTCTGGCCCTATCAACACAACACGAGAAGACTGATAAACTTGAATGTTCGGGAGTTTATCGCATCAAATGCGGTAACTGTGAGCAAAAGTACATCGGTGAAACAGGACGAAAAATCGGCCGGCGAATCAAGGAACATCAAAGACTCTGCAAGAACATGGATACACAAAGATAAGAAATAGCGGAACACATTGCATGGACGGGACATGAAATAGACTGGAAGTCGACCGATAGGTTGGCTGGA